TCACTTTTGAATCATTAACTTACCTGTCCTTCACCTGAATTAGACTGTAAGCAACTTGGGCAATGGACTTTGACTTTTGTGTGTTTCAAGCATAATACACAGTGATGAGAACTGTGGTATGAGCCTTCTGCAAGGATACTTCATAATGAATACGGCCAGTATGACAAGTTTTATATTCCTGGATCAGAAAATACATGCACCAAAACAGGACAATTACCAGAGTGTAAAGAGTAATATAATGGAGCTTTACGGTGACCCTATCATGTAGTTTAGGTACAACATTAACCCTATGCTCTGGTGGTGAATGTCCTCCATGTTCCAAAGACTTTCCAGTGGTGTTTAAATTCACTGTTGCCAACCCCAAAACAAGTTAAAATAACCAGTCTTTCTGTATGACCTACAATATTTTGTACTGTGCTGCTGAATATGCATGCAAACCAAGACTACAAGTGAACTTAACCCCACAGCTGTGCTGACACATCAATGTGATTGGTGCTCAGATTCAAAAGCTGATGCAGTCTTGAGCCTGTATTGACCTGTAGTCTAAGAAAGACATAGGGAAAAAATAAAGTTGACTAGATGAAAGGACGCTAAGCTGACAAGCAAAGAAATGTCACAGTCTGTCTTTGAAGAGAGCATATTATAGAGAAAAGGGAGAGTACAGGAGGAGAGTTTAATACTACTTTAAAAACAAAGGCCAGGGCAATTTTGCTTTAGTAAAATTAGGGCAGAAATGTGGCAACATCTCTGCATTTTGAGAACTTAGTAAAGAGTGAATAGGACTGGAACAGATGTCTGACGATGTCCTTACTCCTGCAGGACTGAGGTACCATGGAATGCCAGGCTGGTCTATATAATGGACAAAAAGCTAGGTCTCCACCACAGGGCTGTATTTATCATGCCCAGTCCCCTGCCAGACACATGCTTTCAAAGAATCTTGGTGTTCACCACTATATTGTATGTATTTCAGGATGTGTTCACTACTGTATAACATTACTGCACGTGATCTCTACGAATTGGGATGGCAAGGCAAATGAGTTTTGTATTTATAATGTCTTCCAGCAACTGCTGTCGTTTTTAGAAATAGCTAGACCACACTAATTTCATAGGTGCAGTTACTTCCAAACCCCAGCTTCCACCATACCATTAGGGCAAGGGAAAGTGGCTAGCAAATATATTCCCAAATACTGTCCTTCAGGCCTTCCTAACTAGTGCTGTTTCACCAGTCCCAAAGGGACTCTGTCAAAGTCGGAAGGGCCAAAATGTGAAATTTTTTGTAGAGGTTTCACATAGGTTTTTTTAAATTATTCTTCAAAGACACACAAATCTACCTAGCTAGGTTTTTATGCTGTGCTCATCAATCTTCTAGCTTTCTAAAAAGCTTTAAAAAAATTTAAATTGTTATCTCCCCAGCACCCACGAACAACCTATAACAAACTATGTGCTCTGCCTAGCTGACATGGGCACTGCACCAAAAGAATCCAGTCCCCATGAGCTGTTCTACGGTAACAAACCAGTTCTTCCAGCCCAGCATTCAGAATGAGCAAACTGTTTTGTTATTGTCAATGTGCTTAATTTCGTGCCCATCAGCAACCCTGCAAACTACAAGCAACCTTACAACAACAAGCCAGTGTATACAACGAGGACATTACAGAAAGAAAGCAGGTTTCAATTTCAAGCTTCCAATGACTAATTAGGCACAAATAGTGAAGAGCATGGAACTGGGAAAATTATCTTGTATGATTCTAAGCAATTTCTTGACAGAATCCTTTTAGGGCTCTAAAATATAGAAAGGCTGGCGGGCTGGTGAAAGTTAATGTGCCAGAAACAGCAGGTCTGAAGCTGATAAATCCTGGAGACCTGATTTACACATACTGTAATTTACCGAGTTCTCACATGTTCGGGGACTTTCCCATCACACTATTGAGATGAGCTGTGGGTTTTCTGAGTCAAAGAATAATTTTGACAAAGTTTTGATTTTTAGCCTTTTAAAAGTTGCAGATATAGTCAAAAAAGTGACTACATATCTTGACATTGTGGTCTCTGGTATTTATTCTCTCTCTAATCCCAGTACAAATGTGCCAATTTGAGTCAAATGGTGTTTTTTTTTCCAATTGCCTGCGCTGCAATCCTCCCCTGGGATATGAGAATCCAGCTGGCCTTCTGCCTCTTACGTTATCACCAGCAACAAAGATTCCTCAGTCCGAATTGAGCTGTTACTTGTGTTAATGATGCACAAAGCCCTACGGGAGTAACACTTGTTACATTAACGATTTGACTCATACACAGGAAGCAGAGAAATTGAGTAAGAAGCGGGCCATTTTTACTGTCATTTTTCTGACCATAACTGCACTTTAAACTCTACAGCATGGCATGTTGTTCCTTTAGGCATTAGATCTTGTGAGCATTCATCAATACTTGAGCATTTCAGGGAACACCCCCACTTTGATGAATGCCACCATATACCTCTTATTTATAGCTTACCTGACTTCAGAAAACTGTGTAGCTAGCTTAACTATTTTTTTGATTGCTGGGTAGAGAATTTAATTTTTTATTTTCGTCAACACCCTTGGCAATGACTGGACATTTTCTAAAGTGTAGAATGAGATACTGAATAACAGAAGCCTAACTGCTGTGCTGTATGTAAAAGGATAACTGTGAGATACTGTGAGGTTTTTTTGTTCTTAATAAAATGCAGTTGTCAGTGACTCAAGCTGTGTTTGTTTCATTATATCATAATCAGCATTTCAGCAGCAGTTTAATGTCAAATTGTGATAATCTTTTAGAAGACAAAACCAGCCTGGATGTAAGTAGGCATGTTAAAAAGATGGCCGTATTTCCCTTGCCTTCTGGGCATGCACCTGCTTCAACTTTCCCTTTCCGACCCACTGTTTCTCTCTGGTGGGCCTCCAGCTCTCAGTGCTTGGGGTCACTGAGGTGACTTAGGCCTCCAGGTAAGCCACAAGAACTCCACCCCTTCTGGCATTAAAAAACAACTTTCCAGCATTCCTCAGACTAGGTAGTTCTTCCTGTTCACTCAGTAGGCACCCTCACAGGGCCACATAGTATCTTCACCTATAGGTCCTCTTCTACCATCTTCCTGGGCTCAACAGTCTATTTGCCTTGCTGGCACAGAACCATAGACAGAAGGCTTCCTCCCACTGTCACTGAAAGTCCCAGCCTGGACCCCCTAATTGAGCATCAACTCTCTTCAACATCCCTCTGCACTATCCTGCCCAGGCTACTTCCTTCTGGCAATGCCCCTCCTCAGGGTCTTTCTCTATCCTGTCCCTAGATCTCTCGCATGTCTTTTCCCAGCTCTGTTCTACCCGGTGACCTGGCTGTCTCCTGAAGCCTACAACCAAGGAGAAACCACCCCACCTCATACCTTCATTCCCCTCACTCACTGAACCACAGTCCCTACTCACAGGATCTCAAACAATCCCTCCTGGAAACTACACCTCCCATGGCTTCCCACTCTTAAAAGGCCAAACCTCAATTATGCCTGGGCTCACAGCACCCGCTCTTAAAGGATGCAACTTCATTGAGTTCAGTGGAGTCCAACCAGCTTATACCAGGACAAGATTTAGCTCTTAAAGTCTGTACAACTCCAGGTATGACTTCAGTAATTAAGACATGAATTAAAGTATGGGTGAGAAACTGAAGCACAGAAAGGTTAAATGACTTAACCAAGGCCACCCAGAAGTCAGTGGCAGAACCCAGAGCTCTTGCCTTATGTGCTAACATGTAATAGGAAGGCATTTCTTTCTAAAGTGTAAATTTAACATTTTCAGAGTCACTGCCATCTTAGCAGCTGGAGCACTGCATACTGACACACCTAGCTCCATTTTTATGCAAATTATGTGTGAGCCATAGGCTCCTGATGAGCTGCTGACTTGTCCTTTAGGTAGGCAAAGGTTTAGCTGCCCAGGTTATATTATTATGAAAGAGTTCAAAAAAGCCCCACACCTCTAGGTCATCTTAGTTAAAAGCTACAATAATCTTCAGGATAACAATGAGGTACAATACAAATTCACACCATGAAATACTCCCAAGGGCACAAGCCAATAAAAACTTTATTTACACACATTCTCATTACACAACATTATCAGTGGCAGGTTTCCCCACACACGCAAGGAGTCCCAGACATTTATAGGTGGCCTTTACCATCCAAACAAAGTAACTGGTAAACAGTCCAGAAAACAAAGAATTAAATGCTGCAGTAAGTTTGGCATTTTCCTGGGCAAGTTTCCCTTCTCTTAGCTCTCCTCAGACCAGAGAACCAGAGCTCTCCTCTTCGCACATCTGCTTGGCTTTGGCTCACTTAGGGACGATACCTCCTTTTTCAAACAAAAGGTTTAAAGAATTTTACAACAAAAATGTAATACAAATATTCACTGTAGAGGGCATTTGGTTCGTTTGTTCTTTGTGGGTTTATTGGCAATTTGGCCAAAGTTGTAATGTGTGCTTATCAGAATTTGTTTTAGGATTTATTAAAGGAGTTTAAATTTGTTGCATGATCTCCCCATACCTAGTCCCATCCCTCTATTGGCAGGGTGGGCAGCGGGGAAGGAAATCCCATCTCTGAGGCTCCAGTCTTGAAAAATTCTACTAATCTGAGTTGTGTTAATATTTTGGACAGCCAAGTAAATTTATCATTAACTTTTACATCATCATCTTGGCAAGGATAGATTTTGTGGATGGGCTAAAAATTTTTCCATAACCGTGGGCCACCAGCCAGGGCACTAGCAACAACTTCACTTGCTGCTGGATCACAGTCTACATGCACCATCTAATGAAGGACAACTGCAGGACTGTTTTGGTCTGGGGTTCATTTACTATATACAATCTATCCTAGTTTGCTGTGAGTTTTCTACCTTGATGAGCTTTTTAGTTTAAAGTTCTGATGAAGTTTTAAGTCTTCCTCTGCTCCAGGATTTCTTGGCAACTTCGGTACACTTCAACCAGACAGTCTAGACGTGGCTTGGAGCTCTAGAGGTCAAGGAAAAACAGTCAGGCTCTGGGCTAGTTGCTGAAGAGGTAAGAGTTTTAATATTCATCCACAGTAACATTTGTCAGATGGAGGAAGGAGCGGGAAGAAGGCTCACACAAAGCAAGCTACCATTGGCATGGATATAAAGGGAACTCAAAAGCAAGGCATCTGCAGTAGATTATTTTTCTGAAGCAAGATGATGACTCTATAGAGTGAACTCCTCTTGTATCCATACAACTCGAGGTGATCCATCAGGCTCCAAGGAAGGGCTGAGGCAGATTGGAGGGGAATGATTGCATGAACATAGCCTGTGCTGTACCTGTACTGTGGTTAGAGGACTTCAGTCCTCAAGGCTGTCAATGCAGTCCCTTTAAGGAACAGGACATCCACTTTGTTCTTTAAGTTAATGCAAAGTTATGGTTGAGGTTTTAAACACCCAGAGGCTAGAATATTCAAGTTGATGGGTCACACAGAAACTGTAACTTTTATCCTTTGTACATATAGCATTCTGTATTACTAAATCTGAGCTTTAATTTAATGCCTCAATATACATGTGCAACAGGACAGAATTACAATTGTCACAGGAACCACAACTTTGAACTTCCCAATCTCACCAACAATATAACAGTAACATTTTTCCAGTTTAAAATTCCTTGACTTTTCAGTAATAATATAATAGTAACATTTTTTCAGAAGTTCTCAAAGGGCTTTGTAAACTAATTAAGCCTCACAATACTCTTCAAAGTAAGCGTATCTTTTTCATTGACGAATAAACTGATTTTATTCAGAGGACTTGTCCAAACTGAACGTTGGTATGAGGAGGGGTAATTGCTAAATTCAATGGCTTAATTTAGCCCAGTAAATCAGTGCCAGATGCAGGGAAAAGAAAAAATTTGACTGCACATGCTAATACATACATTTGTTACAGGTGAAACACATATATATCTCATGAGAGGGTGGGGAACAAATTATGTGACATGAGACAGAGAGCAATCGTCCACTGTCAGTACTTGGAGTATTTACAGAGAAACCAGAAGGACCTGGTTGACAGGAGATAGAAATACCTCCATAATAAAGAAGGGCACTACTGCAATTGGCTCACTAATCAAGTGTGGCTTTCAGGTTCCTGGCAAGTTACTAATGAACCTTTGCTAAGCCTCAGTGGTCCTTGGGCTTTAACTATAACTCAGTAAACGGGGATTTGGTGAGATCTCTACAGCTTCTTTTTATTGGCCTTGTACATATATCATACTGAGCACTATGATGCTGGTGTATATAATATGTAATGCCAAAATGCATTCCACCAAGAGTATTATGTTATTGTTACCTTTTTGACATTTTGTTAGTCTGTGCTTCCCAGCCTTGACCCCCTTATAATAAGCCATCAATGCCATAGCTGCAAAACATCCACATGGTCCAAATATCACTTATGATGAGGAAATAGAATACTATTACTTACTGGCATTTATACAGCACCTGTCATCCAAGGATCTCAAAGTACTTTATAAAAATGGTTAAGTGTTGTTCTACATTCTGCAGATAGGTAAGACTGAAGCACACAGAGGGTGAGAGGATTTTTCAAAAAGCAAATCAGTCTCTGACTGTGGAATAAAACCCAGGTGTCCTGATTCTCAGACCCATAACCTAATCGTTACCCCCATATATTACTCCTCCTCTATTTACCATAAGAAGCAGCTTTCCTCATATTGACCCAATGTATCTGGATCCTGCCCTGGAGGATCTACCTTTAAGAAAGGGGAGTTCAGACTCCACAGTGCTTAGCCTCTTCTACTACTGTCCACAAGAGGAGAGGACGTGGACTGAAACCACCAATTCATTCCACATAATCACTAAATGGCAGTCAAAGGATAATGATTTTTTGTCACTACTGACCTGGGTCAGATTAAAGCCAACAGAGAGGTGAAAGGTTCTGTATCCCATTCCTAACCTTCTGAGTCATCTAGTCCCCCAGGGTTTTATGACTTTTGAGCTCCCAAAACAGCAGTGTAGTATGAAGTCCACCTAAAAGTTATCTTTGTAAATGTTGCCAATGGCAGCTTGAGAGAACAATAGGTCAGGTCAGTGCAGATGTGTTAACGGGCTCCGTCAGATGATATTCATTAAAATTGCCTTCTCTAAAGTTGGCATAACAGAGAGAAATAAAGACTGTACAGTGGAGGCAACAAGAGGTTACTGCTCCTGTTAAAGTATCTGTGAATACACCCTCAAGTGAGCATGTCAGATTGTCTTAGGTGAGAATTTTTGAGGGGTACTGCATTTCAGACTAAAGCATCCTCTTTCCTAGGTCCTTGGTAGTGAGTGGTTAAAGGAGAATCAAATACAAGTATCAGAGTATACCCTTGAAAGTAGCATTGTTCAGAGTTGGGTGGATGCGAGAAACCACACCCAAATACAAGCCTATCCCTTGGCATTGGCAATGAATAGAGGCAGCTGAGATCACAGTCCGATGCCAGGATTCTCAGTGGAGCTGTAAGGAATTCACTCATTGCAAGTGACATTGGATTTGAAGAAGTTTAATTCATTAACATTTGTAAGTATCTTTGAGATCTTTGCCTATCATCAGCAACACGTGCAGCTGAATGCAATTTAGCTGTGTGTAGCCATTGACAAATTGTGTTCAGTAGTGATTCAGAAACCATGGCTAAAACCTGACACTCAGCAGTAGGTAATTTTCACAGGTAGAGAAGGCTGTAGAGTCATTACATTATACAAAGTATACAAAAATTTGTTATTACTATATTTGTACTTCAGTAGTGCCTAGGAACGTGAAAGGAAAACCCACTGTGTTAGGCACCGTACAGAGTCAAACAGTAAAAAGAAATTCCCAACCCCAAAGAGCTCATAACCTAGGTTACGACAAGTCACAACGAGTGGATCGTACAAATAAATGGGCAGAGAAGAGAGGAAAGAAGGTAATGTTAAGCAGAGGTCTCAGCTCACCACTTCTGTTTCAATACCTTTGATTGTCATTGGGTAAAAAAGGCAGAGACCATCCACTTACTTCAGAGTACCTCCTTACCAGAACCTTTGACGTGGGTAGCTGAGACTCTACTGGTGGCAGCACTGTATAGCCTGAGGAGGAGACGACACACAGAAGCCAGATAAACCAAGCTGTATGAAACTCAGCAGCCTTGGTTCCTAGGCTGACCAATGAGCTTTTCTCTTGGGTTGAGATTTGCACATCTTTCTATTCCTACTCTGAATCCAGAATGGACTACACGAGAGCCAAAAGTGTTTTCCCAACACTAATTTCTACTGCTCCTGTGGCACCAGCTATAAAGTGCTGTAGGAATCAAGCTGGCGGACTCCGAGGCACATCTCGGAGAGAGCAACTGCAATGGGCTGAGTGAGGGGTTATGGAATGAAAAGTGCTGAGAACCCCAGTAATACCAACAAACTACAAATCTGAGTCTCTCCACAATCCATTTCATTCTCACCTGAAAGAGCGGCACCACCTCAGACACCCCATGAGGTTCCCCAGGATCTTGGAGAAGGATGCACAGGTAATAGATAACTTTTTGCTAAAAAACAAAAGCAAAAACCAACAAAGCATGAGAATTTTATCAGAGTGCCTTAAATTATCAGTGAGAGGGGATCTGTTCCTAACAAAAGTGACCTGAGGGAAGGGGTAAGGCATATTGAGATGACTCAGCACCAACAGCTGATTTAAACAAGGAACAATTTTTGCTTTAAAATGATGTGGTCTCCTCTCATCTCCCAACTGTGTTTTACCTTAGAAATATCAGGAATGCCCTGTTTTTATGGGTTTTGCTGGAGGATCTTTTAAGGCTCCTATAGCATAGATATTGTGATCTCCTTCCCTTTAACTGAAAGGGTAATGGTGCTGAATTTTTAACAAAGACGTTGTTTTTCCAAAATGTTCATCAGTCACTGTAGTTCAATGGGTATTAACAAAAAGCAAACACAAAAAGTGTTTTAAACAGTCTGACTAAAAATTCCTTCCGCTCTTACCCTTTTGACTCATGATATCATTTTACTAATTCTCCAGTTATCACAGGATGTGTCTTTCCTATAAAATTATATCATAATTAAACAGGATTGTGAAGAATCAAGAAAGGATTTGTCCTGGTCTGCACTGACTACAAAGACGCTGCCAGTGACATCCTGTCAGTAGACTCACTTCTTCATGACTGTGTTTAAACATGGTAACATTTTGTTATTTAGTGCAGCACATAGAGTCTTCCAGACTAATCAGACCTGAATAGACTTAAAGCAACAAAAAACAAATTTTAAAGACTTTCAAGCCTTCTTTAGCCATCAAAATGAAGAGAGAAAAAAAAAATATGTCCAAGCTCAGTTGTTTTTTCTTTTGCAGATCTTGGTTAAGATCTGCACTGCAGTGCTATGAACTCCAAGAGGTTTTCCTGCTCTTTCATTCCAAGAAGCCAGGTATCTCCTTTCTATACCAATCAACTTCAAAAGCGTTCTCTCAAATACTTTTCAGAGGAAAATGGAGTTCCTGCAGCCATTCCATCTACAGCTGAGATCTCTTCAAATCTTACAAGCCAAGCACAATTGTACCCGGTCTACACTGGAAGGGAACAAATCTAGGGAAACAACCAAACCAAACCCACCCACCCACACCAATATATCATCCCAAAACATACACAGCCCATGCACCTCAGTCTCTAAGGCCCTGTTTACATTACAGTACATTGACACTGCAACTCCCTCCCTCCACTGTCACCCAATATATGTGCAATTTTAGCCACATTTAATATTACACTTTTAATATGAAATCAACTCCAATAAATTGAGAGGATAGTTGCGGCTTTCCCGTAAGACCTTAAACAAAATCAGAAAACCACAAACATAATGAGATGTATTGTGGTCTGTCTTCTGATTTATAAACCATTTGGTGTGTCTGACATCGGGACCAACACTCACAGGAACAGCACAAGAGGGAATGTTTACAACCGCTGACCCAAATTCATCCTGATGTAAATCCACTACCATCAACTTCATTATATCAGGGATGAATGTGGCCTTTTGTTTTAAATGTCCTCTTTCCAGCAGGGTTCAGAAAGGAAAAAGATGGTGCAATGGGAAGAGAAATCAGGAATATAGAACATAATGTTGGTGAAGCTAAGGACACCACACCAGTCCAAGAATTTCATGCCTTGACAACAAAATCTGAATCCATTGCCCAGTTAAAACAGTTGTTCCTAGCCCAAGCACACGGGAAAACATAACAGATGCAGTACTGATTATGCTGTACAAGAAGAAAGGCTGTATGAGCTGATTACCATATAGATGGCCTCATTGATGACCACGTCCTTCACTTGGCTCATTTCAATGAAGGTTGTATTCTCTTTGCCCGAAGCATAGGATGAGGTCATCTGGATGCCAAGTGAGCCAATGACTAACAGGGACTCGTGGTCAATTTTCACAAAGTGCAGGTACACGATCAAGCCAATCAGGGTGATAAATATAGCAGCTGAGAGCACCATGCTGTTCTGTAAAGAAAACCAAACAGGCATTTAGGCTCCAACCCTGCAATTAACTGCATGCAAGCATAGACATGGGGCTATGTACAGTAAATTGTAGGGTCATCCATGAAAGTCTGATAGTTCCCATCTTGCTTGACACACTGTGGACTAACCTCTAGATCAAGAAGCATGAGTCTCTATACCTTGAACTTAATTAAGTGCCAAGCTCTGTGGTTGAATGCTGTAACAGACTGATACCTCAGTGGATCAGGCCTGGAGGGGGACCTATAACTGACCAGTGGGTTCATAGAATCATAGAATATCAGGGTTGGAAGGGACCCCAGAAGGTCATCTAGTCCAACCCCCTGCTCAAAGCAGGACCAATTCCCAGTTAAATCATCCCAGCCAGGGCTTTGTCTACTTTGTTCTACTAACTCTGCCCCAAAACACCAAGTTATATCATACAAGACAGACTGTCATATAAATGCAGATTATGATGCAGTTACACTTACAAAGATAGACAGGTATTACCCCTTTTTTATAGATGGTGAATCAGAGGCCCAGCATGATTAGAGAGTAAGGATGGTCTTGTGGTTCAAGCACTGGATTGGAATCAGAAGATGTGAGTTCAGTCTAGTTCTGCCATGTGTGACCTTTATTAATCTTAATTTCTCTGCCTTAGTACCCTGATCGGTACAATGGTAGTAATACTTATCCCTTTCTTCAATGCTTTGTCTTGTATATTTAGACCGTAAGCTTTCTGGAGATGGAACTGTGCCTTGCTAGGTGTTTGTATGGTGCCCTGATCTTGGGACCTTTTGGTATTACTACAATATAAATAATACATGCTAAATCAATGATTAGATTAAACTCAAGCAGCAGGTCACTTGGAGAGCTGGGAATAGTATCCAGGTGTCCTGACTCAAAATCCAGTGCTCTATCCCCAGGACCAATTTTAGAGAGAACATTGCTGAGCATAGGAAATATTAATTCTATCACTAATGGACCAAAACTCTGTTGTTCTAACTCATTTCATGCCACTTCCCAAACTGAATAATCCTTGGTGGCTGTCTTGAAGGAGGAATGATGCTGGACTGCTCGCTAGCACTATTACAGGAGAAAGGGGTCCTGCGCTGCACTAAGAGGGTGGTGAGATTGAGGCTCAGGCTCTTGGGGTAATGGAAGAATTTCAACCAATGGTGTACAGCTTGGATCAGTGTTCTTCACAGCTTGTATAATCAAGTAGGAAGGCACTGGGGGCAATTGCTGACAGATTAATGCCTTCTTACAGGAATTTAGGATACAATTCCCCCACTAACAAGTGGCTGTTAAATCCTTGCTCAATAAACTATCTTCTGACATTGACAACCTTGCCAATTATCACCCTGGTCTCTTATCTTTGCTTTCTGGGAAATGTCACTGAGAAGGTTGTCGTATGGCAATGCTAGTGTTAACTGTAGTCCTCAGACTTTCTTGAGCCTTTTCAGTCCATCTTTTGGCTTCAATATAAACTATAGAGATTGCACTGGTCTCATTGGTTGTTCACAATCTCTTAGTAATGCTAAAGGTCAGATATTTATGCCTATTCTTTTAGATCTGTCAACAGTCTTTAAAATCTTTGCCCACAAGGTCTTGTTGACACATGATCACAAGTACGTAGATGGTATTGCTAGTGGAGTGCCCTTCTTCCCCTCAGAAAAATTTGAGAGAATTATTCTCCGTGATCACTTCTCTGCCCCCAAGAAATATCTCCTGTGGGTTTCCAGACACTCATCTCTCCTGTTCAGTGTATATAATCTGGCTCCCATCAATATGCTAGACATGGATCCATATACATAAAAGATACATGATCCCTGCCCTGAAGAAGCTTACAAACTAACTGAGGCTTCTGGGAAAATAATGAGATCAGAATGTGGCTGTCATGCAACTCTGACTCATTTTCATCAAATGAAGATGACAGAGCATCTTTGCCTTCCCAGAGCCTGGATGAGCCCAAGACTTGGGATGTGAACTAGCAGAAGCTCAGCTCAAGCAGAATTGCAGTAATGCTCTACATGGGGATACCCCTAAAGATCACTTAACAGCAACATCAGTCAGTCTTCCTGAATAGTGATATATTACATCCATTTGCTAGGAACTGGCTTTCTATTCACTTCTAAGACTTTACTTTGTCCTGTATTATCAGAGTCTCAGCTACCTGGTGCATCATCTTGCTCTCCATAAGCCATCATAGCAGCTGAAGTCAGATGGAGTGAGTGTTCATGCTCACTAGCCCCTAGATTTCTACATCTGGGGGCTAGATGTACCGATGCATGTTCATTTTCATTATCTGAGTCAGATGCCACCAGCAGAAGGCTGTTTTTATTTTTTGGTGGTTCGGATTCTGTAGTTTCCACATCAGAGTGTTGCTCTTTTAAGACACCTGAAAGCATGCTCCCTACCTCGTCCCGCTCAGATTTTGGAAGGCACTTCCGATTCTTAAATCTTGGGTCGAGTGCTGTAGCTATCTTTAGAAATCTCACATTGGTACCTTCTTTGCCTTTGTCAAATCTGCATCCGATGAAGTGAGCTGTAGCTCACGAAAGCTCATGCTCAAATAAATTGGTTAGTCTCTAAGGTGCCACAAGTACTCCTTTTCTTTTTGCGAATACAGACTAACACGGCTGTTACTCTGAAACATGTTCTGGGTCATCATCCAAGACTGCTATAACATGAAATATATGGCAGAATGTGGGTAAAACAGAGCAGGGGACATACAATTCTCCCCCAAGGAGTTCAGTCACAAATTTAGTTAACTCATTATTTTTTTAAATGAGCATCATCAGCATGGAAGCATGTCCTCTGGAATGGTGGCCAAAGCATGAAACGGCATATGAATGTTTAGCATATCTGGCACTTAAATACCTTGCAATGCTGGCTACAAAAGTGCCAAGCAAATGCCTGTTCTCACTTTCTGGTGACATTGTAAATAAGAAGAGAGCAGCATTATCTCCTGTAAATGTACACAAACTTGTTTGTCTGAGTGATTGGCTGAACAAGAAGTAGGACTGAGTGGATCTGTAGCCTCTGAAGTTTTATATAGTTTTGTTTTTGAGTGCAGTTATGCAAAAAAAAATAAATCTACATTTGTAAGCTGCACTTTCAGGACAAAGAGATTGCACTACAGTACTTGTCTGAGGTGAATTGAAAAATACTATTTCTTCTGTTTATCATTTTTACAGTGCAAATATTTGTAATCAAAATATACACTTTGATTTCAATTACAACACAGAATATAAGACAGAAAATGTAGAAAAATATCCAAAATATTTAATAAATTTCAATTGGTAGTCTCTTGTTTAACAGTGCGATTAAAACTGCAATGAATCACAATTAATTTTTAATCGCGATTAATTTTTTTGAGTTAATCGCGAGTTAACTGCGATTAATCGACAGCCCTATCCTATACGGCATCTAACAACTTCAGTTTGACTAAAGGATAGCTTTCAGAAAGGCATCCAGAAAGTCTTGATTTGAAGACATCAAGATATGGAGAATCCACCACTTCCCTGCTCACTTCTTCCAGCAGTTACTCACCCTCACTGTTAAATTTGTGCTTTATTTCTAACTTGAATTTGTCTGCCTTTAACTTTTGTTCCTGTTATGCCTTTCTCGGAATTTGCGCCGGTTTAAGGCGCTGGCTGCTGCCTGGTGTCTGTGTGCGAAGGTGGTGGGGGCAAAGAGATTCCCTGGGTAAATAATGACAAAAGGTCCTTTCTTTTAAATAATGACATTTCCGTGCCCGCCTGGAGACTGCAGCACTTTGATAAATGAGCAGTGGGCCATGGGGGACCCTGATGGGGCGCAGGGGACGCGGGCTGACGCCAGGGCTCCCCTGACGGCGGATTTCGGGGGCCCCTCACGGGGGCTGGGAGAACGTGGCGGCGCATGACCTGGGCGCCCGCAAGGCAGAGGAGGCTTTGGGGGCCCCCGCCAGCCCCGGCGGCGCGGTCGGGGCGGGCCCGGAGGGCCCCTCGGTACCTGGCTGAGCACGAAGAGCCCATAAGCCGCCAGCCAGACGGAGCAGGTAGCGGCGCTCAGCGAGCGCAGCTGCAGCCGGGGGCAGCGCACCGAGAACTCCCGGCAGGAGGCGCTGTACTGGCGGCGCTGCAGCGCGATGCGGCCCCCGGACACGGCCCGGTACACCCCCTCCTCCATATTGCCCCGCCAGCCAGCCAGCCGCACCGAGCGGGCCTCCCGCCGCTCTAGCCACCACTTGCCGCCAGCTCCATGGTACAGAGCTCTCACTTCCGCCGCCGCCGCCCGGGCTCGCTCCCCGTGTTGCCCTTTGACCTGACTCGGTCTCCTGCCTCCCCTGAACCGCCCGCCCCCGCGGGAGCTGCTGCCCGAGGAGTCCGGGGCCGAGCCGCCCTACGCAGCAGCCCCCGGCTTTGGGATGCGCAGGCCCCTCCTGGAGCAGGGGAGCGTTGTGATCTCTGTTTGAGGGATGGGGAGCCTGAGGCCAGGGGCCGCCCAGCTGAAGAGGCGGCCCCCGAGTGACAGACTGTTGCCCTCCGCCCCATGGGCTCGTTCAGCGGGGAACTTAAGTCTCCCAGTGCCCTTATCCGTACCCGCAAGTGGTCGCCGCACAGCAGTGCTGGCCCAATTCACAGGCACCAAGTCAGAGGCGTGGTTGTGGCTCCTCACGAAGAGCCGTAGTTTGTGAAAGGCGAAGGCCCAGGTTGTCCGTGGCTGCTGATTGTAGGGGCCTCCCATCTAAATCTGAGCTCCATTGAACCTGATTTTTCAGAAGCACTGAGCACTCCCGATCCAGATAAAGGCATGGGGAGATCCAGACGCTCAACACCTCTGACAATCAGGCCCAAGGTGTCTCAATTCTGTAATTGAAATGAATGGGGCCACGTTTTGATTCTACTTAGTGCTTGAGCCCTAATAAGGTAAAACATGCAGGCAGAACCCTGTTGACTTCAGTGGGGCTTTATGCTGGTATAAATTTCTCTAGTCCCACTCTTAGCAGGGTGATTACCTGGTCTTGCCAGGTGTATCCTATAACAAGGACACACGCTAGCATCCTCCTGGAGTCCTAGAAAATCAAGTTCAGACAAATAGGATAAACCCATCCTAAGGTAAGAGAGTCTGAAAGAGACTCCCAAATATTTTCCTGGCTACTACACCATAATGACTCTCTCATAAACTGTCAACAGGTACGGCTAGATACTTTTTCTGAATATCTGTTTATTTTAAAATCTAGCAGTGTTAGAAATTTAAACTGTTCCTCTCTGTGAGCATCATATTTATCTACAGTGAATTTTATTTAATTCTCTAACTCAGGTGCCTCTGAACTTCCTCAGTCTTCTGTAGTCTTTGACTAATCTAAATAATCTTGTGTCATGCGCAGATTTTGCCAGGTCACTGTTTACCTTCCTCTCCAGGTCTTTAATAAATAAGTTTAAACTGCTCTTAGTATAAATCATTGCAATATCCTCTTATTTGCTTCATTCCATGATTTAAAAACTGATGACTTATTCCTGTTTGTTTTTCTGTTTCTGTCAATTTCTGTTACACAAAAGAACTTCTCTTACACCCTGTATCTAGTTTCCTTAACTACACCTTCTTATGAGGAACCTGATTAAAGCTTTTTGAAAGTCTGAACCAATAATATCGACTGGTTTTCCTTTGTCACCCTCAAAGACTTCTCCTAAATTGAGGGATGTGATTCTCGGTTAAAGCCCACATTAATTGGGTCTTGTATTGTGTTTCTCTAGGACAGGTGTTCTTCTTAATATTGCTTCAAACAACTTGCCGAGTGCTGAAGTAAAGATACTGGCCTTTAAATGTCAAACTTAATCCTAATGCTTTAATAAAATAGACCTAATATTGCCTACCTTCTAGTCCTCAAGAATATCAGCTAGCTTTCATTGTAAATTACATTGTTTTGTTAGCAGCTCACCCACTTAATTCTTAAATCCTTCAGAACTTTTGGGTGAATACTCTTTGGACCTGAGGGCTTGCTGCTGTCACCATACCTCACAAGGAGTAGACAAGAGAGGGAACTGAAGAACCCATGCCTAGGAATGCCTGCTGCAGAGGTACTTATGAAATTAAAAGAATTAAAGTTAGCTTAAATTTGGTTTATAATTTGTGGCTAGTACGGAAAAGCCCCCATCAGCAAGTAAAAGAAGGCCATGAAAATAATAAGTATTATTACTTATAGTGTGGAAAAGATATATGTGGTTCAAAAAGTAACTGATAAAGCAAAAAGACAAAGGAAAACGGTCTTAAAAGAAACAAGTACAAACCATCCCATTATTTAGCTGGTAATAAGGAGAGAGGAGCCGAAAGGAAGGCCTTGGAGGAAAGAAAGTAGCGAGGATAAACTGCTTCAAACTGGGTTTTTGCTAAAGCTAGCAAGTTAGCTGAAGTGTATAAAGAGAGCCATGAAGCTGCCGGTTCTTTTTCAGATCCTACCTGATCATGCTGGAGATGAAATGGTTTTCCCTAGGTCAGGCCTGTTTGTAAGTATACTGATCATGTTCTTATCAATATTTTATTACTGTATTGGGTGTAGTGACTGTTCATTTTTAGGGTGCTATGTATGTTTACAGCAGTTGTATAAAATACCATTTGGTCTTTGGATTTAATAAAGGAATTGTTGATTAAATTTAGCATTTGGTGGTCTCCAATAATTTCAGATACTATTAATGATTCCAAAATTTTTGGTGACCAGAAAGGACCCCTGACAATTTTAGTTGCTGTAAACCCCCAAAGTGAACGGACCTGTTATCTAGGGACAATATAGAATTCTCTTGAAAAGAGAAATTCAATAAAATAAGGGGAATAGAGGGAGGTATTCTAGATACCTATGTAAAAGAATGCTTGGCAGAAGTCTGTTGAATGCCACTGAAATTAAAACAAAAAACAAAAAAAACCGTTGGCAGCCACAGAAAAAACAGTATCTAGCTTCTTTTATCCTAAGGCAAAAAGAGCCAAAATAAAGCAGCAGTTTCACAAGCATTATTTCTGGTGGCTACAAACGAAATATGCCACCCTGAGGGATGAATGCAAAAAGCATAGAGAACAAATCAAAGTTGTAGAGAAGGAAACAAGCTAAATGGAAAAGATTCCTGGAAGGAAAAAACAACGTCTGTCGCATAAATCCAAAGTGAAAAGCAGTTGTCTTTCAAGGACCATATTTAGTGAGTACAGCTTTGCAGGCAAAGTGTACTAAGTTAAGAAATAAGTGCAAAAAACATAAAGATAAACTTAGAGACTAAGAAAAAGTCAGCAGAGAAATGTTATTCTGGGAGATAAGACAGAAGAGTTATAGTCCCAGAAGTTAGTAGCTAGTGCGGTCTTGGGAAGTGTCTTATTAAACAAGGAAAAACTAGTGAGTAATTTAAGGAAAAGGTATGTGCAGTTAAAAGGAGCTTTTGTGCAAATTAACTCTGCAGAGCTCAGAGGGGACTCGATAGTCGAGGGTAGTGCAAGTAATAAAATGTTAAAAAATTAGAAGTGATTAAATGTTACAGAATGTTGGTGTTTTACCAAAAAAAAAAAAAAAAAAAAAATGCTTGGGTTGATAGTGAAACCCAGTAATGGCAGTACAACTCCATGCAGTCATGCCTTAGTAATGAAACAAATTATGTAAAGGGGAGATCAGTTGGGCACAACTATGTTTTGTCCCCAAAAGCCTTTACAGCTGTTTAGAAGGAAAAGACCGCTTCTGGAGAAATGTATCTGTAAATAATCAATTGTAAATAGCTGCTGCTGGCAGAGTGACAGTCTGATTAGAACTATTTGACTATGGAGAGACACGGTGAGTGAGGTAATATCTTTTATTGGACCAACTTCTGTTGATGAGAGAGAGTTTGTAGTACCCTCTTTTGTATGTTTAAAATGAATTGGCTTTTAAAAGATTCCATTAAAATTCCATCCAAATCTTTCATTCAAGATTGCAAAGCTGACACCCACACACACACTCTTTGAGCAGCAGCCAACATGTCTGGGCAGTCTTAACTTTGTTAGTTAACACTTTGGGTGTCTCAGTGCTATTACAAAGTTTAACTTTTTTTTAATTAAGTTATAAATGTTAAATATAAACCAGTAAATGAAAATAGGGAATAAAAGGGCACAGGCAGAACTGGGATAGTGGAGAGAGATCCTGCATCCCTTTTTCAGTAATGAAGCAACAGCTGAGAGAGCTGCAGAAGAAAAATAAAATATTAATGTATAGTGTGTGTGTATGTGTATATGTGTGTGTGTGTGTATATATATATATAATTGATATGGCTAATAAGTTATAGCAAATAAAAAAGTGAAAGTTAAATTATGAAAGGAGTGAGCATTTCTATGGAACATGCAGTGTATACTGTAAAAGAAATGTAAACAAGACATACTACTTAATTAAAATCCTATCATGGCTCCAAAGAGGCTTTTTCAGATGGCTGTGTGTTTTGGAAGCAGAAACCAACTCAGCACCAAGAAAGATCAGTGAATGTAAGAAATGATGATTAACCACTAAAAATTGTATCCAAAAGTTCTGATTAACTGTGGTGTAAAGTAAAGGTTATTAGGGAGTGAGAATCTATATGGGAATGTTTTGTAAATAGAAAAAAGAATTGTATTTAAACTAAAGCAAGTGTATACAACATTTAAATGCCTTAGTAAATTGCAAATGAATGCAACTGATGGTTTAGGGTTGGGTAAACCTTTTAAAATGTTGTATAAGATGTAGATGATATTCTGGTGTAGACAGGTAATGGTATTAAAAGTCCTGTGTTAGGTTTTAATGAAAGCTGGACTAAAGCTAAAGCCAAAAAAGGCTCAGCTCATGAAGCAGGAGATTTCCTTCCTGGGACTAACCCTTCAACCAGGCCTGTATGCTCCAAACAAAAGCTTCATGTGATGTGATTTTTTTTTTTTAGAACTGCCCCTCCATATTTCAGAAACAACACTAGATCACTGCTGGGTGTGACAGGCTTTTGTGGGGGATTTCATCCCTGGTTACACTGTAATCCTTGCACCCCTCTACCACCTCCCCCAGAAGAAGACAGAGTGGGAATGGATACCCCCCAGCATACCCTGCCAGCGTATAAGTTAGGAGGCTTTTAGCACAAGCTCCAGTTCTTAGCACCTCAGCTTATACAAAACCTTTTGGATTGTTTGTAGCAACCAGGGAAACAGCCATTTCAGCTATTAACTCAGTATCTCACAACAGAGAAAAGCGTTAGTGTTATGCTTCCTGGGTATTAAATGGAGTTGAAAAGCAGTATGCCTGTATGAAAAATACTACTGGGTTTTTAGTGGGCTCTGACATATTTTAGATATCTGGTGGGGCTGGGACGCATAAAACTATGTGGCTCATACTCTTTAAAAGTATCTTTTGTCTGGTAAAATCAAAAATGGTACAGTGTCAAGTTCTAAAATGACATGGTCCTTGCTGCTGGCAGAGCACCATCTTGAAGTCTGTCCTCTCAAAAACCCAGTCACCCTTACCAGCAGGATTGTTAATTGTACTCCATGTGAGTGTTCTGGAGAAATTTTCTCTAAAAAGGGGCCCTTAACCCTTTTATCCCATGAGCAGTACATAAGTTAAATTCTGAAGGGCGGTAGCCTGAGGGACTAGCAATATATGTTGATGCGTCACCCTGTCACCAAAAAGGGACCCTAGTCACAAGATTTGCTGTTTGAGCTCCCCGCATTCAGGCAGCTGTACCTCTGCAGCACAGGTGTAGTACACACTCAGCCAAGCGTACTGAAGTGGCTGCTGTGTCAAAGGCATTATCATTCTGTAATAAAGGACAAGTACTGGTTGGTGTGATATGTTCAAACTCAGTGGATCTGTGATGCCTTGACAACATACCTCCCTGGGTGGAGTATGAATTCATTTTGTAGTGCAGATCACAAGCCTTTACGCTTCTCAAGCCCTTTTGTCCTATATATAGGAATTGGCAGATAAATTGGGTAACTCGGTGATATGTGGTTAAGGTAAAAGCTCATCCTAGACTTAAGAAGTAAGGAAGAAGAATAAATGTGGATGAAGCTGCTGCTGCTAGGGAGGCTGTGGTATGGGTCCCACCCTGATTATCCTTGCTGTTACCACCCAAGCACAAACAGAAAACACTGATTGAGGACACGTCTACACTTGCAAAGTTACAGGGCCGGCAGTTACAGCGCTGCTCAGAGAGTGCAGAAGGGAAACCGCTGTTGTGTGTTCACACTGACAGCTGCCCGCACAATAGCATGTTCACACTTGCGGCACTTGCAGCACTATTCACAGTGCTGCACTCTGGGCAGCCATAGAATATCAGGGTTGGAAGGGACCTCAGGAGGTCATCTAGTCCAACCCCCTGCTCAAAGCAGGACCAATCCCCAACTATCCCACAGAGCACCACTTTTTCTTTTGCTTCTAAGACTTGTGGGAAGGTGGAGGGGGTCGCGGGGCATCCTAGGTCCAGTCTCAATGCCCCGTGATGCATTGCTATGCATCCCATCAATCCCTGTGCTGCTGTTCACATTTGGCACTATCTTTCAACAGTTTGTGTACTGTGTGCCCTGCCTGTTTCAGGATGCAGGAATGGATCCCAAACTGCTAACCAGTATGCTGCTCACTCTGACCAACAAGTCATGAGTGGCAGTGGAGTTATTCCTCAAACTACAAAGGCAAGAGGAGAGCGACATTGATCTTGCCATGCATAGTAGCTAAGACACGAGATTGCTTGTGGCATTCATGGAGGTGCTGACCACAGTGGAGCACCGCTTTTGGGCTCGGGAAACAATCACTGAATGGTGGGATCACATCGCGATGCATGTCTGGGATGACGAGCAGTGGCTGCAGAACTTTCGCATGAGAAAAGCCACATTCGTATGACTGTGTGATGAGCTCACCCCAGCTCTGCGGCTCAGGGGCACGAGAATGAAAGCTGCCCTGTCGTTGGAGAAGTGTGTGGCGATAGCACTGTGGAAGCTGGCTACTCCAGACTGCTACCGATTGGTCGCTGATCAGTTCGGAGTGGGAAAGTCAACCGTTGGAGTCTTGTTGATCGAACAGGGCCATTAATCGCATCCTGCTCCGAAAGACCGTGACTCTGGGCAACATGCATGACATTGTGGATGACTTTGCATAAATGGGCTTCCCTAATTGCGGAGAGGCGATAAATGGCATGCACATTCCAATTCTGGCACCAGACCACCTAGCCACCGAGTACATTAATTGCAAGGGGTATTTTTCAGTGGTTCTCCAGGCATTAACGCAGGCTGGTCTGGAAAGGTGCATGACGCATGCATCTTTTGGAACACTGGCCTCTTCAAGAAGCTGCAAGCAGGGACTTTCTTCCTGGACCAGAAGATCGCCATAGAGGAAGTCGAAATGCCCAGTGTGATCCTGGGAGACCCTGCCTACTCCTTAATGCCGTGGCTCATGAAGCCATACACTGGGCAACTTGACAGCAGCAAGGAGCGGTTCAAGAGGCTGAGCAAATGCAGAATGACTGTGGAGTGTGCACTTGGCCATTTAAAAGCCTGCTGGCACTGCCTCTGTGGGAAGCTGGACATGGCCAATGGCAATATTCCTATGTTTATAGCCGCATGCTGTACACTCCATAATATTTGTGAAGGGAAGGGTGAAAGCTTCACTCAGGGCTGGACCGCTGAAGCTCAGCACCTGGATGCTGAATTTGAATAGCCAGAGACCAGGGCTATTAGAGGGGTGCAGTGTGGGGCCATAAGGATCAGGGATGCCTTGAGGCAGCAGTTTGACGCTGAAAGCCACTAATGTTTGTTGCTGTGCTTGAGAGTGCAGTGCTTGTAATGCTAGGAGATTATTGTGAATGGTGCAGACGATGCACTATGAAGATCTAAGAAAATGGCCTGTTGCTTTGCAGGACTCTGTTTGCTTTCAATTAATGGACTAAAGATTGCTTTCAAACCAAAACAATTATTTTATTAAAAAACAACAACCGGTGGAGAGAGACAAACAAAAAAACACATCAGCACTGAGGGGGATGGGGAAAGGGAGGGTCCCAGGACGGTTAAAGATTTGTTTATGTCCAGGTATCATATCCAACCTTGTCCTTTGGAGTACAGTGCAGTGGGTACTGTACTTCAGCACGGCTAAACTGCAGAGAGATGGGTGTTGAGTGCAGTGGGTACTGGGAGTCTGCAGTGCTGGACTGTGGTGGGGCAGGAGTGGAATGCAGCGGGTACAGACTGGAGCCAGGAGGTTGATAAGAGTGTGTTGGCAGTGTCTGGGGGGGGGGGGCGCATGGGAAAGAGTTTTGCGACAGCGGCTGCAGGGGAGGGCAGGCACGGAACTGCTCTGTTTGCAGTGCTAATAGTGCATGGAGCATGTCCGCTTGGCGCTTCATAACATTTAAGAGCCACTCCATGGCTTCGTTTTGGCGCACCGTGTTCTCCTTTCGGTCCCTCTTCTCGCTGTCCCGCCACTCCTTCAATTCTTGTTTTTCGGCTGCAGAAAGCATCATGACTGCATGCAGAAAGAGCCACCAAAGTATCCACAGGGGCCTTCGCAGTGGAGGTGAGGTCACCACTGAGTATCACGTCCAGCTCTTGTAGAACCAGCAGCTTGTGGGCACAGCACCAGAGCAGCAGTTTGCCTCCCGCACCTTGTGGTAGGTGTTCCGCAGCTTCTTCACTTTGACCCTGCACTGAAGTGTGTCACAGTCCTAGCCCCTTTCTGTCATTGGTTGTGAAATCTGTCCATAGGTGGTATAATTCCTATAGCTGGAACACAGCTGGGACTGGACAGCCTCTTCTCCCCAAATGCTGATGAGGTCCAGCACCTCGGCATTGCTCCAAGCGGGGGATCGCCTGGTGCGTGGAGCAGACATGGTCACCTGGAAAGATGCACTGAGACCACTGCACGCATCACCAAGCAAACAGGAAGGGGACTTTCAGAATTCCCAAGGAATTTAAATGGTGGGGATGACGGTTGGTCACCTGAGGGCAGGGCAGTAGAGCTCAAACCAGTGACCAGAGAGGTGAGAACAGGCATTGTGGGAAACCTCCCGGAGGCCAATCAAAGTGTAGTAATGGACCCGGGTGTCCATACCAGCACCGAGGAGCTGTACCCCAGCACAGAAACCTGTATGCCTTTTGTCGGGGTGGTTTTTTTTTTACAGCGCTGCAACTGCACGGTTTCTGTGCACTAAGTGGCTTGGCAGTGTGTACACCTCTGGAGTTACAATGCAGAAAGCTACTTTACTGCGCAGAAACTAGTCGGTGTAGACAAGGCCTTAGTAACATTACAAGAATCTGATCCAGAGTTATCTGCTCTTAATCAAACAGTAATGCTTGGGGAGTTAAACCAGTTAAATGGTAAACAACCCCTTGTTAGGGATAACTCATTGCTCAGTGAAGGGGATGATTTGCCTTACCAGGTTTGGATTCCTTTACAGCCCTTTCAAAGGGAAATGTTGAGATTAGTGCATGATGTATTTCAGGGGCCCACCAAAATACTGATACAGTAGAACCTTGGAGTTACGAACACCTCGGGAATGGAGGCTGTTTGTAACTCTGAAGCGTTCATAGCTCTGAACAAAACGTTACAGTTCTTTCAAAACTTTACAACTCAACATTGACTTAATACAACTTGTAATTTTTACTGTGCAGAAGAAAAATGCTGTTTTTAACCATCTTAATTTAAATGAAACAAGCACAGAAAGTATCCTTAACTTGTCAAATTTTTTTCTTTCCCTTTGTTTTTTAGTAGTTTATGTTTAACACAGCACTGTACTGTATTTGCCTTTTTTTGTTGTTGTCTTTGCTGCTGCCTGATTGCGAACTTCTGGTTCCAAATGAGGTGCGTGGTTGACTGGTCAGTTCGTAACTTTGAGGTTCTACTGTACTACTTTTCAGTGATTTAAGGTAGCCAGCCCAATTGCAAAAAAGATGTAACAATTGCCTGGTTTATGCTTAAAAAAAACTTCTCCTGGACAAACAAAAGGTAGATTTATCCAGGCACAGCACTTCAAGGGTCCTTGGGAAAGACATGCTAGTCAGTTAAAATTGTTCAGAGGTTCCCACTAAGGGTACACAGAAATTGTTTTGTTTTTCAGGCTGTTGGCAGTGTATGGAGAGGGTGATGTGATCATACATGAGACGTCTACCTTAACTGCGCACAGAGCATGCCAGGATGAGTTGTAAGTATACTGATCACATGCTTATGAATACGTTATTACTGTATTGGGTGTAGTGATTGCTTAATTTTAGGCTGTCAGGCATGTTAAAAGCAATGGTATAAAATACCATTTGGCCTTTGGACTTAATAAAGGAATTTATCGTTAAATTAGTGTCTTGTGTGTCCCGTATTAATAATAATAATTTCAGATACTATTAATAATTGCAATGTGTAGGGAAACAGTGGGGTGGAACTGGTGGTCTGAAGAAACAATACAGAGGACCTCAACCTTGGGTGTGGCAGCAGGTGAAGCCTGGCACTAGCAGAAGACTCTTGTACTGAATCACACTGTAATACAAGCAGCTGCTTTGAAAGATGGGCTGGAAGTCTGAAGAGGAAAAACTGTAAGGTGAGAGAAACTGGGGGAAGGAAATAATGGTGCAGAGAGACTGAAATAAGTTGAGAAAATTAATTAGTAAGAAATATGAGGAAGCTTTGGAGAGAGAATTAAAATAGAAAGAAAGAAAGTGGAACCAACATAGCAAATTTAAAGACGGGATGGGAGGGGACAGAGTAGTAACAGTGGAAAGGACTGATGGGGACTACTGAGGCCTGGTCTACACTGGGGCGGGGGGATCAATCTTAAGTTACGCAACTTCAGCTGCGTGAATAACGCAGCTGAAGTCGACGTACTTGGGTCAATTTACCGCAGTGAGTCGACTACTGCTGCTCCCCCATCCACTCTGCCGGCGCCTGTCGCCGAGCTGGAGTACAGGAGTCGACGGGCGAGCGCTCGGGGGTTGATTTACTGCATCTACACTAGACGCGATAAATTGACCCCTGCTGGATCCAGCACGTAGTGTAGACATACCCTGAGATGGGAGTCCCAGGAGATGGAAAGGGGGCAAGGAGAGAAAATTGAAGAACTAGAGGTGGTGGGGGACCAGTGGTGGGAGGGGAGAGAAATGGTCTCCCAGGAGACCAGTAGGGGTAGAAATGGGAATGGTCAGGAAATAAAAAGGAAGAAAAATAGATGAAAGGAAATTGGATGATGAAAATGAGAGAAGGAAAGAGAAGGAAAAAAGCAAGAAATGATGCACACCTTTAAGGTTAGACATTGTTTTAATTTCTGGCCAAATTCATTTCTGGCTAACTCCCTTTTCCTTAACCCCATATTGGGCTCTACCATTGCTCTCCTTTCCCCAGTTAACTCTTTTGTGAAAAACTCTTCTCACCCAACTGGTACTCCAAACGGAAGTAAAGTGCAATGTTACCACCATGGTTCCTCTAAGGAGTAGAGAGCTGGGGAAAAAACAGGAAAGGGAAGTTATTTGTAAATCAAGTCTGGTCTATGCTACCTCTATCGGCATAACTATGTCGCTCAGGGGTGAGAAAAGTGCACATCCCTGAGCAATGTAGTTATACCGACCTAACCCCCTCTATAGATGGCGCTGTCGGCAATCCAGCTGACATAATTACTGGGAAGCGAATTAACTAAACGCGCTGGCCAGCTCTCTTCCCTGGGTGTAGAGCGTCTTCATTGAAGTGCTACAGCGATGCGGTGTTTTAAGTGTAGACGTGCCCTCCGTTAAGTATGGGAAAAGCAGAACAGCCCTGTTTGTTTGGAAACGGCGGGTGTAAGCTAGCGAAGGGCCAGTGATACAGCATCCAGAGAAGTTTCCCCACGCTTAAAGCTAAGCTAGCCGGAGCGCATCATGCTTTAGGTGCTGCTGTCTCTAATGGCAGGAAGGAATGGGGGAGCCCAGGACGGCGGTAGGGCCGGGGGGAGACGTGGCCGCTGGAATGGGGCGGTTGGCACAACGGGGGACACGGGCGGCTGGGCACGATCTAGTTACTGCACAGCGCCCATCAGCGGCCTCTCCGGCCACCTCCCAGCAGCGCATGATGCCGCGTGGCCGCGTCTGTCCTGGCTGAGTGTCACCCGTCCTGGCTGAGTGTCACCCGTCCTGCCTTCGGCGGAGAAGGGTGTGGCAGCGGGGAGACGCGAGGCTGGCCAGGCCAATGGGCCTGGCGCGGGACCGGCGGGAGGTGGCCGCCGGTAGTGGCAGATCACAGCGCGGCGGGCCGCTGGCAGTGGGGTCGGGGCCCGGCCATTAGATCCAAGCGGCCCCAAGGGAGCGGGTCGCGAGGAGCCAGAACCCGGGCGGGGCTGCCCGGGGGAGAGGTAAGGGCTCAGCCCCTGAGAGGAGCCCAGCAGAGAGGCGCGTGACAGGTCCCCCCGCGCGCAGGGGCGGGCCTAGGTGGCGAGTCTCGGCGTTGATCTCCCGTGTGGGGGCGGGGCCGGTCTCTACACAGGGAGGGGGAGGGGACGCTCCTTGCTGGCCGGAAGAGCAGGTTGCCGGCAGGTTCGCAGCCGAGCGCACGCGCGGCGCACACCCCCGGGCGGCCGCGCTGCCATTGGCCCGCCGGGGAGGGACCTGGGGGTGTGTCCCGGGGCGGGGCTCCGCCCGCGTGGGGGCGGGGGGGAGCCAAGCCGGCTTCTGGCGCTGGTGGCTAGGGAGGTAGCGGCGCTCGCGCGCGGGTTAAAAGGGGCAGCGCGAGCAGCAAGCGGCTCAGCATCATGTCTCTGCGCAGCAGCTTCGCCCGGCTCCTGCGGAAGCAGGCGGACTCCGCGCTGCAGCTCCAGAAACCTGCCCACTCCGTGGCGCTGATCGGAGCCCCGTTCTCCAGGGGGCAGGTGAGCATCGCGGGGGGAAGCAGGCGCCCCCAGAAGGGTGGGATGGGCGGGGGGGATGTGATAATGTGTCCCGACCCCAGGCGGCAGACGGGCTCGGAGGGACTCACGGCCGCGCATCGCAAAGGGACCGGCAGTCCCAGGCACCCGCAAGAGGCGCTCTGCGGCCGCGGGAGGGGGGGAACCTGCCGCCCGGCCGGCAGTGATGGCGGGTCCCGGGGGCGGTGGGGGTCGTGCTCGGCTGGTCGCCGTAGCCGCATTGTCTCGCTGTCCCAGCGGGTTTCCCCAGGGTGGCCCCGGCTGCGGGGTCGGTTCTCTCCACGCTCCTGTGGCACCGGAGGCACGCTGCCGCGCCCACGTGAGGCGGACCCGCGGCGCGCTGATGGCCGGTCGGGAAGGAAAATTACCCCCCCACACGCCCCCCGGGTCGGTTCGCGGCTCCGTGTGATTGCTGCGGCTCAGTCGGTTTCTGTGAGCCCCGCGCCCCGCCCCGCAGTGGATCCTGACGGAGCCCCTTTGTCTTACAGAAGAGAAGAGGGGTGGACCACGGCCCCGCTGCCATCCGGAACGCGGGGCTGACGGAGCGGCTCTCCGGCTTGGGTAAGGGGTGGGCCTCGTGCAGCAGCGGCGGGGTGGAAAAGTGGCCCCTCGCTCACCTGACTGGGGCCTTTAGGAGCCTGGGGTTACTGCACGTCCCTGTATCCCCCGTTCTCTTTGCCTTCGCGTGACTCATTTGGTTGAAACATGAATCAGCCATACACGCGGAGCTCTCCGCTGGAAGGGGTGGGCACCTTCCTGCCTAGGAAATGTCTCTGTCTCGTTCCTGTGAAGTAAGATGAATCATAAAACCCATAAAGCTCATGCTCAAATAAATTGGTTAGTCTCTAAGGTGCCACAAGTACTCCTTTTATTTTTGCATGAAACCCTGTATCTCTACTGGGCCAACAGCAGAGAGGCTGAGGATTGAATGGGCCATAGAGACTTGAAAGAAGCCTATATGCTCCTGTTAAAAATGTTTCTCTGTGGCTCAGAACTAACTTGCACAAAACAGACATCAATTGTGTGTATGTGCGTATTGGGCAGTTAAATGTATGACTGACAAATTTGCATGTGCATAAGGGAGGCTTTGGTCTACAGAAAATTGGGTGTGCCAGACCAAACAGCCAGTTTTTGTGTGTGTAAATTTCAGGGCACCATTCAGACACTACTTCTGAGAATGTAAGCAGCAAGGGCAAATCACTTAATTCATTTACTGCACTCCTTCAAATAATCAACTACTTAGCTCAGCCCTTTAATAATAATATGCTAGCCCTGTCCCCAAAAGGAGTCCAGAATTCTCTGAAGAAAACCTCAGGTTTTTGTCTCCAATCTTTCATCTAATTCTCGTCTTGCATTGAGAGGATATAGGAATAGTGCTATCTCAACAGAAAGAAAATGTGGTCTTGCCTTGTTTGTTAGTAGGGCTGGCTATAAGCAAAAGCAAATGTTTGGTCTTGTGTAGTCTCAACAATTTATGGCCCATTCCCTCCTAGCTTCAGAACCAGAGAAAACAAGTATCCTTGCTTTTTTTGTCAATGGCTGGATAAGAGGGTCAGGCAACTTGCAAGCCAAATACTAGACATGAATTCATGCTTGTGGTCTCAGTAGCTAGACTTGGCAGAATGTGACTTTTATTTAAAAAAAAAAACAAAAAAAAAACTGATGGGTTGTTGTGCAAAACTGTGGGGTTTAAGCTCTAGGCTCCTCTCAGGGGCTTTTTAATTTTTTTTAATTTAATCTTTCACATTTGTGGGAAATTATGGGGAGGATCAGACAATAATTAATGACAGTAGACACGGATTCAAAATGCTAAAGCTTTGTTAACCATTAAAACAATTTGTCACCATCGCATGTCAAAATGTAGGAAGTAAATATCTTTAAATGAAACTCAAAGTACTTTGCAAGCAGTACTTTTCTTATTTTGCCTATTTGTAAATTTCTATTATGATTGATGGAATTTTTTTGTCAGTTTGTGTGTGTATGGTGACATTATGCAGTGTTGTAGCTGTGTTGATCCCAAGATATTAGACAAGGTGGGCGAAGTAATATCTTTTATTGGACCAGTTGGTGTGAGACAAGCTTTTGAGTTTATGCAGTGTTATCCTTCGGGTCTGGTAAAGGTACTCAAATGTTACAGCTAAATAGGAGGTGGAACAGATTGTTTAGCATAAGTATTGAACACATTTCAAGGGACCATTCACAGTGAAGTGGCCCATTAACGCCCTCCAGTCATAGGGGTTGGGCTTGGATTGTGGAGCTGAGTGTCACTCCCTCCCCGCCCTTAATGGGGGCTGACCAGGACCCCAAAGGTGTCCCGCCCCCCCCCCCCCACAATGTTTCTCCATGCCCTCCAAGGGGGGTGCACTCCACAGACTGGGGACCTCTGATCTATAGTTTATAAAGCTGGCTGTATTCCTTGGGACTGTGTGTGTGCGGGTGGAATGGAGCACAGGGTCAGACCTTAAAGGGTTAATTCATGATGCCTGCATGTAAATCCTATTGATACTAATTGCATATAAGTGTATGCATGGAGGGGAAATTAATGCCTTAATCACCAGGAAGCTATATCTTCATCTCCCCAACATGGAGTCCTATTCAGGCAGATGACAATGTTCAGCAGTTTTTAGTATACAGGTTTTAGTATACCCTATTCTTCCCCACTCCTTATGATTTAGTAGCTAAAAGCTTCCAGTCTGCACTGCTTAGTGTGTATAAATGAGTTGTCTGGTACCACCTCACTCCACGCTCACCTTTTGCATCATGCAGAGCCTCTGGGTAGGCCACAACATAGCCTTTGGCCATATCATGATAGAAAAATGATTGATGGCTGAGGCATCCTGAAATAAAAAGTGCGTCTGGAGAGCCTTAAATTATCTAAAATCTCTGAAACTCAGAAGTTACCAGATATAAAAGGAGGATATAATACTCAAGGGGGGTTAGGCAGTTCTTTATAGTTTATCTGGCAAGTGACTGCAAAAGTCTTTGACCAATCAGTTAGTTAACTATGGGGTCGTCTTCAAATAGCAAAGGTCTAATAATTCAGTTTTCTTAAGGGGTTGTACCAAATCAAACCTGAATAGAAATGTTTCCATGACCTTGACAACCAAAACTTCCATGAAAACTTCTTCTGTTTGCAGCATTTTTGTTTTTGTTTCGGTTTGTGGGTCATCCCCTCTTCCCTCCCCCCTCCCCATTTTCAGGGGAAGGGATATCTGATTATTTTGACACTGGAAATGCTATCTTTTTGTGACAGTAAAAATTAAAAGTGAAATTGACAAAGTGTAGTTTTGTGCCCAAGTCATATGGGGGAAAAAAACAAAATAAAATAATAAATAAATGAATAAAAGGTGGAGAAAAAATTCCAGGCCCAGATCCTCAAAGATCCTCTAATTTGTATTGATTTCAATAGGAGTCAGGAGCTTAAATACCTTTTGGGGATCTGGGCCTCAGTGTTTACTAACTCAAAATATCAGTAAAGCAGGGGAAGGGCTTAATTTTTTTTTGTTTGTCCCTTTAAATATTAAAAATTTTCAAGGTCTTCTCATCTTTTGTTGCTAAAATGCACTTTTTCCAGCACTGATATGAGTTGCTGCTTTTCTATTCATGTCTGTTGTTGTCTTAATGGTTTATTGCTGCTTAAATTTCTGCAGCTCTGTTGATGAATGGGGTCAGGTGGTGTATGGATTGCTTTCGACTCTGCCAGAAGGGGCCCTCACTGACAAGCAATGACAGACTCAGCCAGCATCCACACGGGAGAGTTTTATATGGTAGGGACAGCCTATTGCATTATGGCATAGAAGGTTAGGGAGGAAGTTACTGAGCAAGAGGGTGCTTTGTGTGTGGCTATTGTCCAATGAGGAATAAGATTGAAATTCAATAAAGAATGTTTTATTTTTCCCCTTAGCCTGGCAGGAGAGCTCCAAATATACAATATTGCTATAGTTTCCCATCTCCCCTCTCTCCCAGTGCTCTGAAGTGTCGCTGAAACCACAGCTATTTCCTTTTTCTTTTTATTCATTTACATCTTTCTAATGTCACCTTAGATAATAAAGTGAATTTGAAACAGCTGTTGTGTGCACAACACTGTTGGTTATGACTAATCTAATTTTCTGGACCTAAATTCCACTATTAAACTCCTGATTCCCAGCAAAGCAAATGAGTGAACAAAGCCACTGAAAACCTTTTCCAAGATCTTAAGACTCTGTCAAAGCAACTAAGTGACTTCCCCCTCCCCCACTGTTGGTCTTTAGGTGGGAGGAGGGAGGTAATATTGTGAGACTGAGTAGCTCCTTAAAGAGATATAATATTTTATTGACATGTTCAAGGTCAGAGAATATCAGCTTCACATTAATGCAGTTTTTGAAGCACTCAACATTCATTGTATGTCCATAGTACATTCACCCCTGTATTGCCCCTTTTACATCTCACCCTCAGTAATGGATATTTTTGGGAGGGAATTTGCAATCCCTGCCTTCTGCCCTAACCTTCCCCCCCAGATCATCTGGACATTGTGCTTCTCTCTCCCCCATCCCCCCTCGCATAACTTTCTGAACTTCCTTCCAATGAAGTCCTGAGCTGCCCCTTTCTTTCCCTTCACTCTGAGGTCACTACAGCAAGGGTTGCTGTTGGTATTGCTGTCGTCTAGCTGGCTGGGGCACGCACTGCTTCTCAGCTGCTCACTTGTGCTCTTACTGAGAGAGAGGGATGGAGCCAAGAGGCAGAGAACATCCCAGTCTTACACAACTTGTCTGAGATGAGTCTGAGCCCCTAACCTGCCTTTCACCCTCCTAGCAACAGCAAAGAACAGCCTCCAGCAAAGACTTAAATAGATTTCCTGGGGTCTGGCTAATGCACCAGAATCCTGAGCCAAAAACTGTAGGTGAGGGAAGTTTAGTCCTTCTTTATGTTACCAATAACTAGGCTTGGCACAACTTGTTTTTTTGTTTTATAACTTTGATAGATGTTTGGGCTTTTTATTCATTTTTTACAATTATTGATTTAAATTTTCAGTTGCACAAAATTATGGGATTTCAGCATTCATTTTTATGTTAAAAATTTTCATAGTTGCTGAAAATTATTTGGCAGTGAGATTCAAAAAGTTAAAAGCTTTATACCTGTTAAAACACACACTGTCGACATCACATGTCTAACTATACAAAGAAAGTAACCCTAAATCAACAGATCCTACCTGTTTTTAGTGTTCACTAATCTATTTGTAACAAGCCTAATTCAAAAGCCACTGGATTTTTGACTATAATAAGCTCTCAAGCATCATTTTTCTTTCTTTGTCTCTGTAAATTTCAGTTATTACTGATGAAGATTTTCATCCCTTTGTGTGTGGATGGTGAAATTGATATTTATTGACATCTACTGATAAAAATCTTATCCTTCTAAGTTTGCTACTAACCCCTGAGACTGACAAAATTTTAAAATCTAATTGGCCGAGTTTGTGAGGCCTTATGCTCAACTTGATGTCATTCTCTGTCTGAGCTGTGCTCATCCTCCCACTGAAAATTATAGTACTGACACCCTGAATTTCTTATCTTCCAGACAGAAAGAAA